TTTGGTAGGATGGTTAGGTCGCTCGACTCGCAACCTGAGAGCCGCGGGTTCGAATCCTTATCCTACCAAATATGCTTGCCCTTTCAGCCGTGGGGGCATTATAATGTTATACTTACTCCCACTATTCGTTAGTAAAAGAGTAGCCAAAGAGTTGGCGGTGAGTGGTGATGATTAGCTGCCTTCCCTCTAGTCTTACACTGCTAAATTAGGGACGGCTAGAGCAGATAGCCCTCGTGTAGCTATGCGCGAAATTCAAAACAAACCAAACCAAACCAGATAAATATTTGTATTATTACTACTGTTTATATCAATACACATAGGCCCAGTGGCACAGCGATATGTTTGCGGACTTACAACGCTAAAGTCCGGGTTTCGATACCCGTGAGGGCAGAGCACAGATAGCCCATTGTGTAGCTTTGTACTTAATTACAAACAAATACTAAACGTTTTAGTATATTTAAGGGAAAATATCCCAGGATTTTCTAGCATTCAAGTATATATTATTATGTGTGCCATTAGTTACATTATTTTAATTTGCTTTTTTAATTTGTAATTTGTTTTTTTATAACATTAAGTATGTACATCATTATACAATAGCACAATAATTTCGTAATGTAGCACTTTCTATTATTGAGTGGGTACCTTTTGATTATGCAGTCTAGGTAACTGATAAAAGGAAATTGTGTTTTATTTCTTCAACTGAAAGTCTTAAAACTTACACATTTTTACGAACTAATGATAACCAAGCGATAGACCTAAGTTCACAAATATATAATGCTAGTAACTTAGTTGCTAACGAATACTGTGTTTTCCAGACTTTAGTACCTCATTCAAATAGAAATTCAAAATTTACGGTACTGTACTAACTAATGCAAACTCATTAATCAGCAACTCACTACTTTAGTGTAGTTGTCATTTTTGTATTGTCCAAACCCTTTCTCTTATTCTCAAGAACATTCATTCTATGACTGATCTACATACTTGTCACGTGACTTCTAAACTATCTCTAGTGAACTTCTAAAATTAACATTCTATTCAACATTCAGGTTATTATTTGCAATGTCCACAGTGGCACAGCAATATGTCTGCGGACTTATAACGCTAGAAACTTGATGTTCTTCTAGTAGAAGTGGTTCAAGAAAGCGTGCTTGATTTCAGTAGGTAAACCTGCTTTCTTTGACCAGTCAATAAAAGACAGTGTCCATCTGTTCAACTGAGGGATATAGGTTATTGCAATATCTTCTCAGGCAGAATAGATACTACCTACTACACATAACAAAGAAACGAAGCAACTTCAACAAGGCAGTCTCGACGACTTTCTGGATCATATGGGTACTTTTTGATTATGCGGCAAAGTCTGGGTAATTGATAAAAGGAAACTTTTTTTTTATTCCTTCAACTGAAACCAGATAAATGATAAATTAAAAAAGTATATATATCTAAAGCAGGTATAAAACAAATGATATACGTGCATACCACAGTTGTATTGTTGTCTGTAATTAAAATATTAAAACATAGCCTGCATGTTAAAAAGAATACCATCTTGATTTATTTAATGCTGAGAGAGAATATGTACACATGTATTTTTGTAAGCTGTATTTTAAATATTTTAATTTATTTTGTTGTTGCTAGAGGGAGCTTATAATGACATCGTCGTGAAACAACGTCTAGAAATTTTGTGAAAGTTGAGGCCTCAATATAATCTGGAATTTTCCTTTATTATATAGAAAACTATGTTGTTTATAGTTACCACCATCAGTGATTGAATGAATCAATTATTTTGAACTATTCAGTTCGTTGTCAGTTACTGAATTAGAGAGCTACTTAGTTAGTAAACTAAACAGTGAGTCAGTCAGAATGTTTGTTATCGATTATTGAGAAAATTATCCTAAAAAGTTTATCTGTAGGTTAGGAGAACATTATCAGAATTTCTGTTGAAACGTTCTTTGTCAAATTATGCCTATCAGTGAACGTAGCTTGTAGCAAACAATACTGAAGAAATAAATAAATTCGTTATCGTTAGGTGGGGTGGACT